GATAGAGTCATTTCTTGTTGGCTCTGCGAGCGCTTTGGTCACCCAAAGTGTGCCGGTATTCTCGGCCGTGCTGCTGACGCAGTCGGTGACCCATCTAAAGGATTAAGATAGTCATGTCCTGACTGTAGGCAGCGGGACATTGACTTTTATAAACTTTTCACGGAGACGCGTATTGGTTTCTCGAAATTGAGTAGAAATCTCGGCTCCTTGTGGGAGAAGTTTGAGATAATTAAGTCTAGGTTTGATGAGTGTCGTTTTATTGGGCACTCATCTTCTACTCGTAGCGTAGCGTGTCGGACGTCACCTCTGGGTTTCTCCAAATCTGGTTCGTTGGTACAAGTTACCGCTCCCTCTAACTCTAAAATAAACAGTAATGTTTCCGATATTGCTGAGTCGGTTGGTAGCAAAACAGTTACAAACAAACCGGCAAGTCCGTCGGTTTTAAGCTACGCCGAAGTAGCAAGGGTATCTCCGCCACTCTTTTAAAGTATTAGTTCCGACTGAAAACAGTGATATGTTGTTAAACAAACCAATGTGGCCAGTAGGATCCTTAATTAAGGAATTTATCCCTCGAGATCGTCCCCGTAATACCAAAGCAATTCGCTTTCAAAAAACTAAATGTTTCTTCAGGCCCACTATCTCTCATTTATCAAAATGTTAGGGGCCTAAATTCGAAAATTCGTTCCACTTTTCTAAATTCAGTGAGCACGGAATTTTTCTGTTTGGCCTTTACTGAAACTTGGCTAAAACCCGATCTTCATTCGTCAGACCTTTTTCATAATTCTTTCCAAGTGTTTAGAAATGATCGAGTGAATCGCATTGGTGGTGGTGTATTAATTGCCATATCTGCGTCAGTCCCGTCCAATTTAATTGAATTTCCCACTTCTCCTGACGTTGAATTTATCGCCATTCGTGCGAAAATGCCTAATAAACATCTATTTATAACCTGCTCCTATATTCCCCCAATTTCTGATATCTCCATTTACAGGAAAGACGCTGCCCTCATTTGTGAAGTGGCCAAGCGGTCTAGACCCACCGATTTGGTCGTTGCATTGGGTGACTTCAACTTGCCTCAAGTCACTTGGTGTAACAGTGATAATTCTGGCTGTTTGATTTCTATTTAGACGTCTGATAGGGCTGTTGTGGTCTTTAATGAATTGTTTGATCATAATTTGGTTCAATATAACCGTACTCCAATTGTAATGGTATACTGCTTGATCTCTGCTTTGCCAATTTTCCCGAGATTTACGTAAATCGTTGTCCACCTTTTAGTTTACCTGAGGATCCTTATCATCCGTCAATATGCATTTCCTTTCATCATATTAATGATGGTTTGTTGAAATGCCTTAATGTGCCAAATCAAACTTTTTAAAATAACTATTATGATTTTCATAAAATCAATATTGTATTACTAAAACATCGTCTTTCACATCTGACGCTTGATTTCTCAACCGGTAGTATTGAAAGCTTATTGCCATCGTTCTACAATACATTAAATCTAGGTATTGCTGCATCCGTTCCGATCAAGCCGTGCCGACCTCGAAGCAGGTGTCCCCCGTGGTTTAATAAGACAATTAAATATCACAAGAATAGAAAAAACTCGCTATTCAAAAAATATTCGAAAAGTGGCTCTGCGCTCGACAATGTCGCTTACTCGGTGGCGAGGCATAGATTCAACTCCCTCAACCATCATTATTACTGCAGATACCTTCAGTTCATTAAATCCTCTCTGTTTGCTAATCCTAAATTCTTCTTTAAATTTGTTAACTCTAAAAGAAAAATTTCCACATATCCCTCTCATGTTTCTTTTAATGGCTCTGATAGCTCGGATGATTTTGAAATCTCAAATCTATTTGCTGAGTATTTCCGACGAAACTTTTCGATTGCTAATTTCGATTTACCAGCAAACTACCTATATCCTATAACTAACTCGGTTTCAATACCTAACTTGGTTATTTCAGAAGATGACGGTTTTAAAGGGTTGAGCTCTCTAAAATACAGTTATTCGCTTGGACCTGATGGAATTCCATCATGTGTACTTAAATCTTGCGCTGTCGAGTTATGTGGTGTGCTCTCAAAGATTTTTAACATGTCCTTGTATTTAGGTGTTTTCCCTCCATGTTGGAAGAGTAGTTTTCTTATTCCTATCCACAAAAGTAGAAGTAGAGAATTTGTTGAGAACTACAGAGGCATAGCCAAGTTGAGTGTCTTGCCCAAGTTGTTCGAGCGTATTGTGACTCAGCATTTGGCCTTTGCCATTAATTCGTATATTTATCCGCACCAGCACGGCTTTCGTAAAAGGCGATCTACAGTCACCAACTTTTTAGAGTTTACTTGTCATGTTTTGAAGGCTTTTTCTAGTGGCTCTCACACAGATGTGATACACACTGATTTAAGCAAAGCGTTTGATACGGTTAACCATAATTTACTGATCTTTAAACTCCAAGCTTCTGGCTTCCCTTCCTATTTAGTGAAATGGATAATCTCTTATCTGGACAACAGATCCTTCAGAGTTTTGTTTAACTTTATCACTTTGGATGAATTCCCCGTTTCGTCTGGCGTACCACAAGGAAGTCACTTAGGTCCCATTTTATTTAGTTTATACATTAACGATCTCCCATCGTTGGTTAATTCCAGCCAGATCTTAATGTATGCTGATGATGTCAAACTGTTTTCTTCCTTCTCTGTTGAATCGCAATCACATCAACTTCAAGGTGATTTGGATAATTTTGTTGCATGGTGCTCTTTGAATCTTCTGAAACTAAATCTGAGTAAATGTAAGAAGCTTTCTTTCTCAAGAAGAAAGTCATTCATTACTCAGTATTTCATAGATTTGTATAAATTGGAGGACGTCGATTCGATCACAGATTTAGACGTTCTATTTGACCATAGGTTACGTTTTAACTTGCATATTGAGCTCTCGATTAGCAAAGCTAGGTCCGCGCTTGGTTTTATAAAAAGGTGGTCCAAAGAGCTTGGTGATCCCTACATTACGAAAAGGCTGTACATGTGTTTGGTTAGACCCATACTCGAGTATGCCTCAGTTGTGTGGTCTCCTTCATATAGGTTCTACGTAGATTCAATTGAATCTGTTCAAAAGCAATTCTTGCTGTTTGCCCTTAGAAATTTGAGTTGGGATCCAATTGTCTCTCTTCCTCCGTATGAAAATAGGTTGCTTCTGCTGTCCTTACCGTCTCTTGAGAAACGTAGGTTTGTTCTTGGCGTTTCCTTTGTAATCAAAGTAATAAATGGTGCTATTGAATCGCCTTCATTACTTGGTGAAATAAGCTTTAATGTCTCTAACCGCTTCTCTAGGCACTTTATCTTGGTTAAGCTTAGTCAGTGTAAATTTAATTATGAGCTGTTTAATCCGCTCAGAGTCGTTTGCAAGAACCTAAATGACGTCTACCACTTATTCTCGTTATCGAACTCTTTAAAGTCCATTAAAGCAACATTGCTTAATACGCGCGATTTACCTATGTCGTACTTAAACTAGCTTTTAACCATAAAAAGTCGTTACGATTCGAAAATGAATTATTGTTAATTATTATCGATTGCCAGGCTTATGCATGTTTGCGATGGCTTAGGGGTTCATTTGCAATTTGGTCTTGTACCGGTTGTATGTGTGGCTCTATGCTGATAGTGTACATGGTATTTTTTTTTTTTTCTTTTTATTTTTCTTCTTATTTGTTTTATTATACTTATACTAAATTTTATTATTAATTAATATAAGTTTTGCATTATGGGCCAATTGAACTCGACTGTTATTTGTTTAGTTGAGTTTCTAGTATAAGTAGAATTAATATAAATAAATAAATAAAGTAAGCAACACTGCACACGTTAAGAAGAACTTTGAAAGTATGATACATCTGGTTAAGTTAATGGCCGTTGGTGGTAGATGTAACCCACGAATAAATACACACTACTTACAGATCTATGCAATATATTCTCCACAATATCGTACGCCCTTATCGCATATTCTCACGCATATACGTTGCTCAAAAATCAGGAAGCTTTCATTTTTCACCTGGCCACCGTTTATAACACATTTTATGAACTTCCGTTCGCTTCAACGGCGAATGGCAGATAATCTCTTATGTTTGTATTATGCATCATTATCGTTCTCTAATATTTATTTTGAAACAAGTAACAACATTATAGTCGTGGAAGGGCGTTCTTTAAAAAAACTTAACCACTTCACGTAATACGAAATATTTTATGGAGTGGCACTAGAAATAGACCCATGTGATATCAATTAGGCCCGCTAAAATTTTTTCTCAAGTTGCTATCAAGAACAAATTTTGATCATAAAAAATTAACAAACTGGCTTTTTGGCATATAAGAGTTTGCATTAACATCCGGTAGTACCTAAAAAATAGACCTATGTGGTCCATATTCGGTAAGTTTAATTTCGTGTCAATTTTCACTATGAAATATGGAAAACTACACATTTTTTGCATATAGAGATTCAGTCTTTTTAGGAACGATTGTATGAAAGAGGATTGAAAAAATTTCCGCTGCCGAAACGAATTTTTGTATACCAACTTAAAATGTCGAAATACCATTACTCAGTGACTTTTGTTGAGAAATTGTAAAAAATTTTCAGTCGCTTTCTACTTACGTCGCTGGATTGGAAACTAGTTAACTCAACATATATAGTCAATACCAAGACTTGGCAACCTTGTCAGTGTTTGCTGGCGCAAACGGGTACTTCACTAGAATAATCGCCTTCTTTGTGAGTACCATTATATTAAATCAACTTCTAGAAGGAAATCTGAAAAAACTAAACCAAATGCCATCAATATCCGGAATATATTGTAAAAATTCATTCAATTAATCATATAAAAGTGTTTATCATCAAAAGGCAGTTACATTTTTCTCCAGAAATAAGAGACAAAAATAAATTGATGCTTTCTCATGTTGTGTGAATTTTATTATTATGTGTTTACTGTGTATGTGCATAATACTATTGCTAAGCAAATGTTCGGATTAGTGTGAGTGCAGAAACGCAACATAATACACATTTCCCGTCGTACGGTGTTGCAGATACTTTCTATATTGTAGTTTTGGTATTTTTCATTGTCACCAAATTAGAATGAGATATTGTATTGAATTTTGTAAGTGCTTTCATTTATTTATACGTAGATGGATTTTAGGATATGTACAAAGTTGGGCACAACGCATGAATTTTCTCTGCACGATTTTTTACACGTAGTGTACCTCTATTAGGTGTGTAACGATTCTACACGATTTTTGCTAATTTTTCTTGAAACCAAACACAAGGCTGGTTGCTATTTGTAAAGGCAGCACAGAAAAAAATATTGAGAGCAAAAAAAATCCTTAAGCCTTCGTTAGTTGTGGGTGTGTCGAAAGCTCAAAAAAACATTTTTATAAAAACAGTGTAAGCCTGACTTTTGACTGTGTGCGTATAAGCGCACTAAATTTTCACAATGACTGATGCTAAATCTTTGTATTTCCTGATGTTTCCCAACTTAGCGTAGTCTATTTTGCATTTTAAAGATGCCTGAACATAGTTTAAGGTTTTTCTTGTGCTTAAATTATTGCTATTGAATTGAAGTAGACGAATGAGAAAAAGTAATAGAAAAATCTGGATTGAACGTAGCTTGCAATCATTCATATATACTGAAGATAAATAAGCAAGCGTAGAAACATTGAAGAAAAGTTCAGTCCCCGAATATCATAAACAAAGAATCAACGCTGCTTATGAATTGTAATGCAACAAGAAGAAAGAAGGTTTCAAATTTTTTGCTGTACGACGTTATGCTATATAAGTGCACAAATCTACATTTTATGACTCTGGTTTAATTTAAATAACGTTAAATTGAGCGATAAGCGATGTACTCTAGTACTCCATATACGGGTATGTACTCCAAAAATTTGATAATTTTAGTTGCGTCTTGAAAACTAGCTACCTTGTTACTTAGAAATGAGAGTTTGTCTTGACCATTTCGAGCCAATATACGAGTGACTGTACTGAAAATTGCATCTATACATCATTTCGGTTTGTTAATTTTGTTAAGTTTAAAAAAATGTATAAAAGTATCGAATTTTTTTTTTTTAAATTATGTTATTTTATATTTGAGCATTTGCCAAACTTCGACCTCTTCATGGAGAAATGTTATCGTTGAGATTTACCTAACAGTAAAAGTTATATCACTGAGGTATATATACAATAAAGATTTTTTGAGTTTGCTGAAAAATTCGTGATGTCGTGGGTTTTAATATATAACAAAGTTTGCCCACCCTGAATTCAGTTTTAGTATTGATATCATCACAGAAAATTTTTATATCCAACACCGAAAGCAGAAATATCAATTTTGAAAAAAGATTTGCAATAACCAGAAGAAAACTTCAGAAACGCCATCAAGTATACATATTTTGGATCAGAGTCAAATTCTGAATCGAGTTGATTAAGCACTGTGTATTGTCTGTTGTAAACATTTCCCCGACCGCAAAAATTTAGTCATCGGCTTCTAAATTAGCAGGAGTCTTTGAAGCCATTTTACGCGTGTTGATATTGAAGATAAGCTCACTTGCTCAAGTGACACGTCAACAATACGCCATAAAGTAAGAAGACCTAGTTGAAAAGCAAAGCGTTTCGTGTATACAACAATACAAATCATAACGCCTATTCTATAATTGATTCTCCAGCATACTTGCACAAAAGAAAAGTTAAAAGAACCTTCCTGTATTACAATGTGTTGTTTTTATTGTTCGGCTGGATTTTTCATGAATATATGAAAATTAATGGTGTTCAAAATTCCTAACACTCGCCAGAGACTTGCAGAATTTCAGATTCATAATGTTGACGAAAAATTGTAGTTGCTTACGGGAGTGGAAAGAAGTAAACCAGCTGGTGTTAGCGGGCAATGTTGGTGGTCGCAGGTCTCTTAAGCTGTAGATTTGTATTTGCTGTGGTGATGATTACATGCTTTATGACCATGCTTTCAGGCATAATTGGAATATTTGCCATCATCCCACTTGAAGATATTGATTGCTGAGGATATTATGCCATGACCATCCGCTTGCATAGCGATCTGCGCACACTTTTTTCTGCTGGTAATCAGTAACTGCTAACCATTCGCATTCGTGCCAGTTGTGTCCATCATATGTTTGACATGGTCAGCGTCGGGCTCCTCTTCAGGCTTATTTGGCTTTGGTAGAATCACTAACTTTTATGTTCTCCCTATGCTAGGGAATCTACTTCTATCAATGTAGTTTCCATGAACTTTTGAGAGGCCATCACCTCATTTGGGATGCCACCTGGTCTGAGTGTCTTGCTGTTACTCAGTTCCTTTGCTCTGAGCTTAATTGCATCAGCAATAATGCCATATGGCGACCTTTCCATATTAAGGTTTCTATTCTGCAGTGCGACTTTGCCTTTGTGGCTTACTTCTTGCTTGTACGCATTTCTTCTCCAATTCTGCGAGTTTCATATTCCACCAATAGGTTGGTTTACATTCAATGCAATTTAATCTTCCAACAATGGCGGCGCCGCATGTTTTCATTATATGTGGGGCCAGTTTTCTCGTTTGTTTCTCAGTATTCCACGGCCATTTCATATCTTTTGATATCATTGTCCTGGACATGTCAATATCTGGTCTCTCTATTCCCTGAACTCGCATGCCTGTGATTATCGCGTAATAGTCATCTTGAATCTATGTATTGCTAACTTTCCATTCACAGTAGTATATCAAGGAACTGCTGACAAAAGTTTATTGTTGACGCATCTCCATTTTTTAAAATCTCTAACATTTATTGACGATTCACAAGCCTTAGCCGCTGTAATCACTACGTCCAGTGTTTCTTCAAACTCCAATAATTCTAGACTTGCTGGGAAGGTGACAATTGGAAATGAACTTCCCATTTATTTTAGTCACTACATAATATTTGCTATTTCTCGTAGGGATTTCTATGTTTTTTTCATCACCAGCCCAAACAGCTGCCACGTTAGCTCGGCCCGTTATGCATCGCTTTCATTTTGTTTGTTTTGCAGACATCTTACAACCTGGACATAATTTACTAGTTGACTGGCATTTGGTCTCTTGGCTCTGAAGATAATGCAACTTGGTTCCTTCTTGACCACATATAAACCAGCATTTCCTTTTACCTGTGCCACTTTTGCAAGATTTGACGATATGGACAAACTCTAGGCATTTGAAGCACCTGGTGAGCATGTCATACAGGTGCACTCTGTATATCACCCATCAAATCGTAATTCCTCCGTTTTGCAGAAGCGCCGTGGCTATATTAGAGGTGGCATATAATATCACCACCTGAATAACTGCATACGATTTTCTTAAGGCTATGACTATTTCCTCATTTACATTGGCATCGATTAATTTCTCATTGACAGCCTTTACAATATGATTTCTTCACCGAGCAATAAAATCTTAGCTTGCTTACCAAGCACCTTCTCTATTCGGGTTTTTTATTCCTACGAATTTTCCTCTGATGTTTTTTTAAGCTCCAAAAAAATTTCTTCGCTTTCCGAATCTTCTGCGTGTTTTTGCTCATATTGCGTAGACCCTCGATCTCTTTAGCAGTCTTTTAAAACGTTGGTGTATAACATGTCGTCCATTTTTGCCACCATTATAGCATTCGGCATTCGACTACATTTTCGTTTACTTTGACGATCGCTCGTTCCTTCACTCCACCAATGGTTATCCATCCTTCGGATTTCATTTTTCGAGCACAACCATCAAATCTTGCATGTTTCTGTATAGTGCGCCTGGGAAGGGCCATCATTTCTATGAGGCCGAAATTTTAACTCCTGACTCAATAAATGCAACTGCTTCTCTTATATAGATCTCCTACTATTTGTGCATCTGGCTCTTGCAGTCCTTTGCGCCTGTTTTCCTGTGCGCGTTTCCTCGCCGCCGGTGCCAGTCGGCATCATTGTAAATGTTATCTTACTATTATTGCTGTCTTTGCTGCTGCTTGTTATTTTTGCCCTTGTCACTGTTACCGTTATTATCGTTGTTACTGCTTTGTGCGCAAAAGTGTGTTTGTGTTCGTTTAATACGTGTGTTTGCCTGTATGTTTTGCTTATTGATATTTTTTCTCATTCCAAAGCCAGCAGTCGATGTTGAGTCAAGTTTGCTCTGATTTTTGGTACACTGATTAAAACGTGCGTACCGACCACTTTAACAGGAGTGTATCTGCACTACACTGACAACGTTACTCAAGATGAAATGCAGCGATGTCAAGCTTTTCTTGCTTTTCGCCTTGCCTTAATCTTTGTATATTAAGTGACACTATGTTAACCCTGAGTGAACGAGTGCCGTCATACTCACGACATTATAAATATTATGAAAAAAAGGAATGCCGCCATACCGGCAGCACGTCGTGATATTTTAGGAAATCTGCTAGGTTCGGCTTTAATTATGCATGCAACAACTAGGGGAATTTACATCGTTTTGTATACGGTCAATAAAGTTTGTTATCGTCATTTTCGGCTCAGTATCTATTAGAAGAAAGAGTGACAGGGTCGTGTGTACATGCGTATTAGTTTTTCTATATACAATTTAAGATATGGCAAAGGAAAAGAGTGTTGAAGAAGCAAGTACCAGTAGAAACCTGGAATTTTCTAGTAGTGAAGATGAATTTTATGTGTTTGCAAAAGAAAAATGGAGTAGCTAAAGATGAGAATAATAATTACGACAGCTCTGATAACGACTTACTTCCTAAAGAAACGCGTGTTTTGTGTATTACGGATACTGATAGGGTAATTAGTTTATTTTTGCGTTCTAAAAGTGCTTGATTGCAGTTGTCTGTAAAAATCTTTTCCTTGTCCTAAAAGGTCATTTAATGGTTGCGTTATATTAGCAAAGCCTTTCATAAATTTTCTGTAATATTTGCAGAATGCTACGAATCTTTTTACTTCGTCTGCGTTTTTGGGGTAGGGATAACATCTTATCGTGTCCTATTTAGCGGGGTCTGGTATCAAGCCAAGGGGTGTTATGAGATATCCTAGGTAGTTAGTTTGAGGTTGTATTTATTAAGTTGTTCAAGTACTTTTGTTAGATGTCTGTTATCATGTTCAAAGCTACATCCGCGAGGTTGTCTGCGTACAACAATGCTTCACTGTCTAGTCCTTCTAAAACTATAGTTGGCATTCTCTGAAAACTGTAGAACGATATCTTAAGTCCGAATGGATGTCTTGTGTATTGGTAGTGTCTGTTTGATGTTGAAAAGACGGTTAAAGGTCGTGAGTTTCCGTTGAGCTCTATTTGATGATTTGTCGGGTGTAGGGTAGAGAAACGTTGTGATCGTCCTAGTTTGTCTAAAATGTCTTCTAATATTGTGAGAGGGAATTTGTCGTTTACTATTTTTTCGTTTCATTTTCTGTACTCTACTACTGTCGCAATTTTTTATGTCCGTCTAATTTTTCTTAGGTAATAAATGGTGAGTTACAACTAATTAATACGACCCTTCGTTGTAATAATTCTTCTACTTGATGGTGTCAGTTTGTGCGCGGGGTAATTTATAGTTTTTTATCTTTAGTAGTGTTTTCTCGTTTGATTGTATGTTTTGTGTACAAAAATTATTTGCAGTGAGTGGTTCATTTTCTAAATGAAATATTGTTTGAAATTTTTTGAAGATTTTTATGAGTTCTTGTTTTTGAGAGTTGTTTAAGGTTTGGAGATTGTAGTATTGCTTGGAATAATTTGAGTTATTTTTAAAAAGGAGTGTGTTCTTAATAGTTGCCTAAAAAGAGTGGTATAGGTTTAGAGGCTATTGCTAGATTGAACGCCATGTTTTTATTTACTTTATCTTCCATATTGGTTTGTTCTTTTTCTAATAATTCTTCTGGTTTATCTTCTCATTTGATTTATACTTTTTTTTAACAATTCTTTG